AAGTAGTACCAATGGAAATTAAATATGTCAGGAGAAAAACAGGGCTTCCCCTTGCTTCTGAAATTTTTCATTTTACTAATGAGGTGGGACAAAGAGTGTGGGCAGATGGGGGAGTTAAGGTATTCCTTCTGTAAGATGTGCGTGAGGTTGCCGCGAGGGCTCCCTGTGCTGTGAGGTGCTTGCACGGCCGGGCTGTTAAGAGTCTAGCCTTTCCACGTTTGTCGGAGGTAACTTGTAGCTGTGGTGTGAGCTGTGAGTTGTTGCTTTGCTGTTGGTCCCCACTGCGTGGTGATTCTGTGCAGAAGGGGTGAAGGGGTCAAGGGGTCCGCAGATGAACAGGACCTCATTTGCATGTGTGTTTCCAGGGTGACCTTCCCTTTGTGTTAAGAGCCTGTACTTAGTTAGGGTCACGCTGTGTGGTTGAGACAGAAGACATGGCTGGTTTATCCGCTGACACTTCTGTGCCCCTGGCTCTTCGGTATGTGAGGCTCTGGCCGGCGGTCCCGGGGCCGGCCAGGTGCTGGTGCCTCTGGTTGCTTGGACGGGTGAGCTTCACCCGAGGAGAGCTTTAGAGTTCTGTAAACTCTCCGCGGGAGGAAGGCCAGGAGTCGGAGAGTTAATTCTACACCGTGTGCTCAGTTAGCCTCCAGCTGTGAGCAGTTTCCAGGGGACTGAGAGCACAGAGCTTGGAAGACACTGGGTTTCCACTTCAGCATTGCAGCCTTGCTCGGAGAGGGGCTTATAGTGTGTCCAGGGACACGGGATTCCTTGTACTGTAGCTCCTGTTTGCAAAGTTGGTGAAAACACGGGAAGGTGAAGTGACATTGACATGATGACAGATTTTTTTTTTTTTAATGTGGGATTATTAAAAGCTGAAAGCAGCTCCCTGTGTCTGTCATGTGGGTTGAATTTTATTTGATCACAAATGAATGGTTCTGATACAAAATATTAATTACTTGAGTTTAGTATTTATTTTAAAAAAATATGTAAAGCCATAGCCCCAGAAAATTCTTGGTTTAAAATCTGATTTGAATTTTGGTAAACGATTGCTATTTAATGTTTTTAATCACCAGATTGACTTGTATGTCTCCTAAAATCTGACTGGTATATAATAAACAATCATTTAGTAAATGATCAGTTCATTATCACACTTCTCTTTATTGATAATGTATTTAAATAAAAAGATAAAGCAATATAATGTTGATATTATGACACAGCTGTTAAAGTAGCGCTGTAAACTGAGACTTTTGCAACTTTTTTCTATTTAAGGAACCTGTTGTTTTGCTAAAACTGTTAGAGCCTCTTGCTTTGTGTAATAGTTTTTTGGGAAAACTTACTTTTGTCTATCAGGAAAAGAAAAGTGTGATTACCATTTATATATCATAGACTAGGTTTGAAGAGAATCACAGATTATTAAACAAGAACTTGAAAAAGGTAAAGATTTTGGAATCATGGAAAGAAAGGGTATGATGGTCACAGAAGAGGAAGAATAAAGGCACAAAACTGGAAAAGAAGGGGAAATACTGCTTCATTTAAATTTTAAATCATTTAAAATTACTTTCTTAAGAGGAAAAGTGCTAGATTTCTGAACTTAATGATGGTCTTCTCCTTTTGTTTTTAAAGTATTCTACATTAAGAATTATCTGGGAGAAGTGTATTTCGGGGTCACTTGTACATAGATACAGACATAAGTAACTGGTAATGCCAAATCAAAAGTTGAATTACCTTAATTCTCTATGTTATTTTGAGTCTGCAGTTACGGTCCAGATCTACGGGTGACTGGTATGTTCATGCTGTGATACAGTTCTAACTGGCTTTTTAGTTGAACTGTGGTGTGAGTACACATTCTTAATAGCAGTATTTTAGGCAGCACAGGGGTGCCTATTCTCTCCTTTCACAGGCAGCAACTGCAGCCATTTCACAGGACAGTGTGCTAAGAATGTGTGTTTCTTGTTAGAATAGCATTTTAAAAAATTTGTTTCATTTTGTTGTTTTTTATGTTTTAAGTTCGTGTTAAAACGTGTCTGAGGATAATTACATTATTTTAGTAGAGATGTTGTTTATAACTGAGTCATAGGATTGTGTCCTGTTGTACAAACTGGAGCACATGTTCACTCTTCTGTGAACACCTGGTGTTAGGTGGTGGTGCTCAGCTGAGCAGTAGAGAGAAGGTAGGCTAGTCTTCGGGATCTAGAGTGACTCCTCAGGGAACAGTCAGCCTGCCTCTTGGCCAGGCATGTTACCAGTGAGCTTTCTCAGCAGAAGGCAAGAATCATGCCAGAGATAAACAGCCTTTCCAGGTTTGGAGTTAGAAAACAAAACTTACCTGGAACTTTAAAATACTTGTTGGGGAAAAGTATTTTCTGATGGTGCCCGATATCAAAGTCTGAGGTCTTCTTGTGCTGTGGAGAACATGTAAGGAATGACGATTCTAAAACCAGCCTGGTTGTCAGCTTTTTAAGGACATTTTCCCATAGAGACTGGGTTCAGGAATCAGTGTGTTTAAAACCAGCTAAGATCAAGAGAAGCTAACACTGGAAGTAAAAGATTTGAGGATTATTTTGCACCTGATGTTTAGGTGAGCCATTGCATGTAATTCCATTTCATATCTGGAAAAAAGCCCTCTCTCAAACTTTTACCTATTTCCTCTTAATATAAGTAACTGATATCTACAACTATTTTTGGAGCATACGCTCTTTGTAGTTGAAAGATAGGAAGGAGACTTGAACAAGTGTCTTGGTCTAGGTCTTGTTTGCTTTTGTAATACTTATTTTTCATGTTATCACCTCTCACTTACCAAAGGACCTGGATGAAGCCCTTGCCGTTTTGTAACTGGCAGGCTTCTGAAATGAGCTTTTCCATGTGTCCAGGACTATCAGAGTCCATAAGTGCCCTCTTTGCTTCTGCCCCCAGTGTTCCCACTCTGTACTGGGCCTTCCAGGGGCCTCCACTACTCCTCACCCGAGAGCTGCATGCGTTTGTGCTGCCTGGGCGGCTGTGTGAATAAAACCCAGGGCAAGTGACCTGACCATTCTATCAGGCTCAGTGAGTCTGTCGCACAACTCCCCTGATGAGAAGTAGAATCTTGATACCTTAGCATATAGCATATTAAGTTCTGTTATTTTCCTAATTGAAAGTGTGTAGTGATTATGCACATATATTTTGTGTATTAGATTTGGATATCCAACAGATAACAGTTTATTACCTTTTTAATGTCAGGTTGTGACTCCTTAAAAAAATAAAATGAAATTGTTGTAATTTTTTTGTGCATCTTTGCTCAACATAGTACTCAGTGTAAGTATTTAATAAATATTTTTCATTATTGAACAATTTAAATACCCCCAAATTGCCTTTAGTTGGCAAAAATGGGACATTGCAAATTAAGGAAATTAACTTGGAAAAGAGTAAGTGAAGTATTTTTAGTAAAGTACAAAAACTTTATTGCCTTATGCAGGTGCTTTATTTCATGTGTTCGAGCCTCCTTGTTTTATGCCCCAACCTTTTATTGTGGAAAATTCCAAAGATGCACAGAAATAGAACACGCAGCTTCAACAGCTGTAAGCTTTATTTCATGTGTGCTCTTCCAGCCCCAGATTATTGTGAGGCACGTCCTAGACATCAGATAAGTCCACCACAGACATGTCAGTGTGTTTCTCTAAAGGGCGATCAAGCCCCGTTTGTAGACAGCTCGTGGGGAGACCTAGTGCTCAGTCATTGTGTTCCCTTCTGGTGGAGCCGTACCCCAAATGGGAGCTCTGTGAGAGGACGAGGTTGTGGAGGAGGTGGTGCCTTCCCCACCATGCACAGAGTCCCCATTGCTCCCGACTCCACGAGGGGGCAGACAGAGGAAGGGGAAAGTGAGCTGGACGGAACCTGGTTTGAGTTTCACTTTTCAGCAGTCACGTGAAGGCAGACCATTTCTGGGGTGACTTTTCAGAAGCAAGCAATGACTTCTTTTCTGAAGGAACTCTCAGTGCCCCTCCTTGCTCTTAAGATACAGAGTGAGATTAGATACTTATTAAGCAAAAATCTTCTAAAACATTTCCAGAGCATTGCCTGTAATGTTCTCTGTTAATGATTTGGGCTTTAATAGAAATACAGCATTTGAACTTATGTCTGGTTTTTGCAACCTGTAGTTTTGTATAACCTGTTGAAGTTTCTCACTGGGCGATGAGCATGTGGCCTAATTGACATACGTCTGTGGGCACTTAGCTCGTGCAGACGGGGTGCAGCGCTGTCTCTGTGCCCATACAGCCTTCCCCTTTCTCACACCCTCAGTGACTTTGTCCGTGTCTCCAAGTGAGTTCTACTCAGACACCTGCAGGTGTGTCGTGGTGACTCTGTGGCGCGGACAGGGTTCTGTGTGAAGCAGCCAACAGTGAATGCCTGAACACTGTAAACGTTGGTTTTTAGCCTGAGATAGAGTTTGTGTAAACAGATAACTTCTTTGTGTGAGGTCAAATGCTCTGATGTGTGGGACTTGTTCTCCTTCAGCACCACGTGTATTTGCTCTTACTGTGCTCTTTTTTTGTTTCCCAGAAAATGTATTTCTTTGGGGAAAATGCTGTTTTTCCAAGCAGACTGTATGAGACTTGCACTTTGTATAAGTGGTTTTAGCTGCTGTAAAATCCTGGAGGGAAGTGATGGGATAAAAATGCAGAAGTTGATTTTTCTTTTTTCTTTGCCTGTGTTTTGGCATCTGTTTTGCATTGGTTTCCTTCTGTTGCCACCACTCAGATCGCCTATCTCTGCAGCGTGACATATAATTATAATGGAACTGCTATCTGCATTCCTGTAGCATTCTTTTTTTTCCAGCACTTAATGCCTTTTATTCCTTAGCTTCAGGCAGGAATTGTGTAGCATATGTGAAGAGGCTTAAACTGTTTCCATTACATTCTTTCTGGATGGCTCCGTTATATTTAGGCTTACATTTTAGACAAAGTCGGAATGTTATTGTGGTTGACCTTGACCCCAGATCACTGGGCAGACATTATATAGCCATGTTTGAGTCCTCACAGAACGTGCTCCTGAAGCCGACGGAGTCCTGGCGGGAGGCCCTCCTGAACAGCAAGGTCATGGAGCTGTTCTTTACCGTAAGTCCTTCCCCCCTCACCCCGGCCAGAAGGGTGCCATGGGAATGCCAGCTTCTGTATTTCTCTTAAGTGAAGCAAGACAGATGGCTTTTCTCCTTCGAAGACTTCTCTTCTAATCAGTATACTGCTTAAACAAAGATCATATGTTTTTGCTGGTTTATAAAAATGTTATATAATTAGGATGGGTTTAATGTCATAGGGCTCAAGGTGTTTGCTCTTGGGACCTCTTTACACTCTTAAAAATTATCGAGAACCCCAAAGAGCTTCTGTTTATGTGGGTTATAGCTAATAGTATTTATATTTCCCATATTAAAAATTCAAACTGAGAACTTTAAAATATAAGTATTAATTCACCTAAAAATAGCAATATCAGACCACTACATTGTAACATAAATAACATTTCAGTGAGCAAATAGCTACATTTTTAAAAACAAATTAAACCTTTAGTGAGAAGAGTGGCATAGTTGACATTTTTGCAGATGGTGCTGATGTCTGGCATCCTAGCCCAGCCCTCACCTCTGGTCCTTGTCCAGTTGGTTGCAGCTTTGCCATCACATTACCGACACGTAGAACCTGTGTGTGTTGGAGGCGGGGGTTGGGCAGTGGGAGTGGAGAAGGCAGGCACTGCCCTCACTGTGCTGAGAGGAGTGTTGACCTTATGACCTGGCAGAATCAAGGAAGTCCTGGGGACTGTGGGCCACATGAGAAGAGCTCCCTGGAGCAGTGCACTTTGTTGCCAGCCATGGGCTAAGTCAGTGTTCTTGAGTAGTAGTTCACTTCGGCTGTACCCCTGCTTTAAGTAGTCCTGCTTATTGTTTGCTAAATAATGAAGAAGTTAGGAACGTGATCCCATTTTTGCCCAAGACAGTCCCCGGTGTAATAGGCAGAAGCTGGGGAAAATACGTGTGCGTGCGTGCGTGCGTGTGTGTGTGTGTGTGTGTGTGTGTGTTAGAGTGTGGGAGAGAGAGAGTGTGTGTGTGTGTGATGGAGTGTGGGAGAGAGAGAGAGTGTGTGTGTGTATGTTGGATGCTGGTCTGCAGATACAGTGCAAACATCCACATTAGTTATAGCAACTGGGACAAAAGTGCAAATAAAGACCAGTTAAAAAAATGATTAGCTATGTTGCTAAATCCCAACCATTAATTATAGTTTACCTTTTCATTTGTTTTAAAAATGCTAGTCATCAGCCTTACAACTGCTTGCCTATTTATACAGCATTTAAAATACTGTAGGCATATAGTATATATTAAAAAAAAAAGCGAGAACAAGGTTATTTGTCGCTCGGTGTACATAAAAATATTTTTCTGTGGAAATGTTCAAACTGAGTATTACCTTGCATTTTATCCTGTAAATCCGAGAAGTAATGGGTAAAAACAGTATCAGTATCAAAGGTGATTGTAACTACACTTTAACACTCTTTTGCCTGCCTCCTTGGGCAGAAATTGTTTTGATGTGGATCCAAGTTCAATTCTCTGTATTACTCATTTGACTGAAAACAGTTTTTGAAAAGGTAGAAAACTTTCCGGCAGTGCTGGAAGTGGCTCCTGGCCTGAACAGCTGTCTAGACACGGTGGCAGCTGCCCCTGTCAGCTGGGAGCCACCATGGGCAATCACTCAGCCTTGAGAATTAACCCTTTTGCTTTGTTATTTTAACAGTTTTGTGTCTGTGGTCTGTTACTTTCACATATGCACTTTATGAACAATTTTAATTTTGTCATTTGTTAGAAAAATGTCAGTGACTAATCTTGTTTCTTTTTTTTTAAGTTTACTTTTTAAGTTTCAATTCTGTGAATTTATTGCCTCTTTCCAGCATATTTCCACAGGTTGTCACTTTTCTCTAGGTTTGGATTGCTGCACTTGCATGTACTGTGTCACAGCCTCAAGACCTGGATGTGGCCCTTCTGGGTTCAGGGGGCTGGATGGCCTTCTGGCCCTTGCAGGTTGACGACTGATTCTCCTTTCCCTTAGGTGTTGGAGAATCCCCTCTCCTTAGTTTTTCCTTTCTGATCTTCGACGTGGTCTCTTCTTCATACTGCTTGCTGTGTGGATACTGGTGGTCCCGTCTCAGCTCTCAGCTTTGCAGCCGTGTGCGATCTCCTCGTACTTGTCTTCTGCTCATCGCCCGTCTCGCCCCACTCCTTGTCTGTGTTCAGTCCCAGAGCCTTCTGGTCCCATGCCTCACCAGGCACTTGACTAGAGACCCACAGACATCTTTGATTGCCTGTGTCTCCACAGAGCCCAGCGTCTTACTCATGAGCCTTTCTTTACTCTGTATTTCCTGTCTTGCTTCTTCACTCGCCTCTCTGGGTCTTTGGCTGGACTTAGCCTTTCTTTATCCCTCTGTTTTCCCCTATTCAGGTGTTGGATTCGGATCTTAAGTTGGGTAACGTAGTTCAGATATGGTAGAGTTCCTGTGTGATGGAAGAAGGGCAGAAATCTATATCTTCCATAAGAATCAGTCGTTGATTTATCATGCGCTTTACATGAACATGTGGTTCATGTTTCAGGAAAGATAAGCCCGAACAGTGAAGTCAGGCTCTGAGGATGGTTTATTTTATTTATTTCATGACATGGTCCACGTTGGTTATTTCTTTTGCTTCCTCAGCTCTAGACCAGGGTCGAGTGACCACTTGGCTGATGAAGCAGCCCTCTGGGGCCCCAGACTATGCTGTCTGTCACATTTAAATGTTGATAAGGTTAAAAAACACAGTGATAGAAATGTAGTTACAGCCTTCAGATAAGGCGCTTGAGAATAGTTGTGTTCAGAAGTTCTTGAAGTAGAGTGTATATATGCCCTTGTGCATCGTACTTTTAATCAACTTTATATAAAACACTGGATATACTTCTAAAAACACTGTGTTGCTCTGGACCAGGGAGGGCCTGGCCAGGTGAGCTGCTGGGCTTCGCAGGTCGAGAGTTCTCCAAGGCAGCTTCTACGCTACCCTCCGAAGACAAGCACACAGCAAAAATGACGTGAAAGCTGTTAAGTCATGAGTTCTGTGTACTTTTCATATGTCCTGAAATACTGTATCATTCTTCAGTTTTGTTTTTCCCAGCCACATGCAAAGGTAAACACCATTCTTACCTCACAGGCCACATGGAAGCAGGCAGGAAGCCATGTCTGGCCCATGGGCTGTGGGTTGCCAACCCCTTTTCTAAACAGAGAGGGTAACATGTCAGTAGATAAATTAATTTTGTGACTTGTGGTAAGTTTCTTAGAACCTTAAGAAGCTCAGGAATTGAAGGCTAGTGGAATCCATCTGAGAACTGGGGTTGTGTAAGTGCTCGGTGTCCCAACCCTGCACCAGTGCATACTTGGGAAACATTCTGCCTTCACATAACTTGTAAGTGATTTGTAGAGTCAGAGTGAAATAACATGAAACCCATGGAGAATAAATGTATACATTGTGACATTCAGAAAGCAGAGAGGTTTGTGTAGGGGAAAGGGGGCTGGAAAAGTGAAATGCTTGTGGAAAGTAGAAGATGGCCATAGTAAGTGTGGTGGGTTAAGACGAGAAGTTTCCTGTGAGTTCTCTGAACACGTTTTCCTGGGTGGTTTTGGTTATTAAGTCTGAGAACATTAATGACCTTCATCGGAATGCTGTATGCCAGGTGTTTCAGATAAGTAATGCAGAACTGAAGTAAAATCTAGATGAGGTTCAAAGTGAACTTAAATATAATCTAAAATTAAAAATTTTTTAAATTTGTTAATTGCAATGATGTAGCATAAAATGAGATTGGGACAACTTGTAGGCAGTCTCAGAGTTAATGGAAGACTGTTTATGTGTTGTTTGAATGAGCGAGCTCCTAGGGTTGGAGGGATGCGCTGGTTTTCTGAGTGTGACTGTGTCCACCGGAGTGCCATCTGTACGCTTCTGCCTGAACTTCGCTAACTTTAGCAGGAGCCTGGGTGAGGCATAGTTAGCATAATACAGACGACTGTCGTCCTTGCTGTTTTTAGAAGGAGCAGTGTGCCTGACTGGCCAGCATCTGTTTCTCTCTTTGTCACAATAGGCTGGAGACAGTTCAGTTTTCACAATGTAGGTAAGCCCTCCACTGAAGATTAACTGATACGTTTAAAATCATGGCCTGTAACAAGCAGTGCACTGAGGCACAATTTTCAAATTTAACTGGGAAATCAGTTTTCTAGAAATAATCAGCTGCAGTGAATTTTTCTTTCCCTTCATTTGGCGTGATAAGACACGTGACCCTTAAAAAAAGAGGAATTTATTTTTATGGATTAGCTCATCTTTCCAACAGGTACATCGAAAGATCAGAGAGGATTCTGACATGGCCCAGGACTCGCTGCAGTGCCTCGCGCAGTTGGCGTCCCTGCACGGGCCTGTCTTCCCTGATGAGGGCGCTCAGGTGGACTACCTCTCCCACTTCATTGAGGGCCTGTTGGGCACCATCAACGGGTAGGTGTCCCAGCTGGGAGCGGCCCTGGCTCTCCTGCATGGTTCGTGGTGGAAGGGAAGAGAAACCAGTGATTCCCCTTAACCCTATGAAGTAGAGTTATATGTGAAGTGAACACATAGAGACGTGCCTTTGGAGTGAGTGGATGGAAACCAGTTTCCCTTGCTCCACTTAACGCTGGTGCCCACACCTTGGGTCGTAGGATCGAGATAGAAGACTCTGAGGCTGTGGGCATCTCCAGCATCATCAGCAACCTGATCACCGTGTTCCCTCGCAACGTGCTGACTGCCATCCCCCGAGAGCTGTTCTCGTCCTTCGTCAACTGCCTCACGCACCTCACCTGCTCTTTCGGGCGCAGCGCTGCACTGGAGGAAGTGGTAAGTGGCTCCTCTTATCACATGGTGTCTGTCTCACAGTGAGTGCTGCTGAGCACTGCTCACAGCGAGTCATTGTTTTAAAGGCATGTGTTCTTGTTTACATGTGCAAATTATTTGGCGATCTGTGCTTGGAAACAGGGCTTTTAAAACATTTGTGATTAAAATCACATTCAGCTCAGTTGTGTCTGACTCTTTGTGACCCCATGGACTGCAGCAAGCCAGGCTTCCCTTATTGGTCTAAGTAATTATTTTTAATTACTTTCATCTATTTCTTATAATTTTAGTTATTTATTTTTGACTGCATAGGCCTTTTCTCTACTTGTGGCAGGTGGGTGCCTCTCTCTGATTGTGGTGCTTGGGCTTCTCATTGCGATGGCTTCTCTTGTTTGGATCCTGGGCTCTAGACCACAGGCTCAGGAGTTCTGGTGCACAGACTTGGTTGCTCTTCGGCATGTGGAATCTTCCCCTGATCAGAGATCAAACCTGTGTCTCTTGCATTGGCAGGAGGATTCTTTACCACTAGCCACTTTAGCCCTGGTTTAAAGGTTTTAAGTTGAGATAATTTAGTACATAAATATAGGAAATGGAGTGAAATTTTTATATTAAATATTATGCTGAAAGCCCATTTTAATATTAAGCTATTTGATTAAGTTCAAAGGGTGCTGTGAGCTTTATGGTATGGTTTGACTGTATGTAATTTTAAGTGTTTCTTGAGAATTAAAAAATCTTGGGCTTACCTGAAAATTGCATAAATATAATTTGGTTCAAATAATTGTAACCCTGTTTATTTTGATTAGACTATGCTCTTGAAAATTTTTTTGGTGCTATGGTTTAACAATATACCTTAGTAAATTTTAATTTACATTAAAATGAAGACTAGTTTCAGTACTCAGAGATGTTTCTTGGTACAGATTTTAAATGCTTATCTTCCAAGTATTATATTTAATTTAGAAAACATGTACTAAACTTTTTGACAGCAAAGCTTTGTGTGTAATCATTACTGTGAATAACTCCATTAATCTTGGGAAGTAGTTGATTTTTTTCCCTGCAAAGTAGTTACTGTTGAAACTAATTTTTCTTTTTATGAAATGTAAATCCTTTTCAAAGATTGTAAGAGTAAGAATATTTGTGAACTTGACAGAATTTCGAGTTAAGTCCTAACAGCTGTTTTGTTGGAGATCTGGCAACATGCATGGAAGTGTTTAGTGTCCCTTTTTGGAGGTGTCAGAGCATGAAGAACCCAGATGTGGCTGTGTCTGCACCATGGGCGCCCCGTGGTTTGATGGGGAAGGAGCCAGGCCAGGAAGACATTTGTGTGTTGGAAAGTGTGGGAAACACAGCTCCTTTTTAGTGTCTGTCTGTGGGTTGAGGAATCTTCTAACCATTTTACAGAGAAATTGTTGGAAGATACATAACATTTTTGGTTTGCAGATTTTTAATTTGAGCATTTATTTATTTTGCCTAGGGGACTAACAACTTGGAAAACATTGTTTCTGCCAAGGTTTGACATAGAAGTATTGGAACTCAGAGAGCCTGGCTGCCCTTGCAGAGAGTGGATGTTTATTGTGCTGTCTTCCTTTCTTTTAACAAATTGATTTCTTTTAACCTGTTTATGACGTTTAAAAAATGGTGTTAGAAACAGTTGGTTATCCATTGAAAAAAGCAGAGGGAAAAGATTTGTCTCATGCTTTCCATGACTCATAGCAACCAAATTGGCAAGGGTTGTACTGCTTACAAGACTATTGTTGGAAACAACTAGATCTAATGGCCAGGGTTTCATAAGGGAACACTCGAGTAAGGAGGCCTGGCCACCTCAGGGCAGGTGGGCGAGTCCCAGCGACACCGGCCCTTAGAGGGCTGCTGGGTCAGTCCAGTTCTGTGAACATTTATCTATCGCCTGCATTTCACCAGGCACTGTGTTTGATGAATATGTTCTTTAGCGTTAAGAATTTGGAAAGTCATGTATGTTTCCAAAAGGAAAAAGTTAATCTAAGAGTGTAATGTTAAAAATTCTCTGAAAAGTTATAATTCAGACTATTTATTCAGAGGCCAGGAACACTGTCATATGCATGGGTGCTCTGAGTCAAATTTATTCTGTGCTGTAAGGACTGGCTAGAAAAACAAGAGAATGAATGAATTTCTATTACATATGACATTCAGAGACTTCTCTAAATTCTTTTTTTTAATATTTGTTTGGCTGCACCTGGACTTAGTTGCAGCCCACAGGATCTTTAGTTGCAGCATGAGAAGTTTTAGTTGCAGCTTTAGGGATCTAGTTCCCCAACCAGGGACTGAACCTGGGCCCCCTGCATTGGGAGCGTGGAGTCTTAGCCACTGGACCACCAGGGAAGTCCCTAAATTCTTTTTAAAATGGAGAGATCATGACTTTTTATTTGTAACATTTCTGTGTTTTTTCTCTATGTTGTGATTTTTGCTTCATACGATGCTACACCTGGAAAGCCCCTTTCTAGGGACTAGTAGTTAAGCTAGTAGTTAAGAACCTCAAGAACCCAGCTACCCGTGCTGGAGATGTAAGAGACACTGGGGTTGGGAAGATCCCTTGGAGGCTGAAATGGCAGCCCACTCCAGTATTCGTGCCTGGAGAATCCCATGGACTGGAGAGCCTGGCAGACTATAGTCCGTAGAGTCACAAAGAATGCAGTCGCAGAGACACAGCTGAAGTGACTTAGCATGCATGCATACCAGAAAGAGTGTAGCAGATGAACAACGGCACAGACTGTTTTAGTTCTTTCCATCTTTAATCTTTCGTATGTCCTTGCTTGCTATTTTACACTATATATTATCTGATACATGTATTACACATGTATTATCTGTCATTGGACTTGTGGGCTATGGCACTGCCTATAAAATTTAAACTTATTGTGAAGTATTTTGTTCATGTCAAGTAAAAACTTAAATATGTGTGTGTGTGTGTCTAAACATTGTGAAGAATAATAAGATGAACAGCTGTGTGCCAGCCATGCAGATATTACAGTATATCCCTGGTGCCTTCCCCCTTCCAACTACCTGGAGTTTCCCCCTGTTGTCGTAAGCATAGTTTATATTGCGCAAGTTACTTCTGCCAAATGATTTTGTGTCATGTTTGCTAATGAGCGCTGTCAGGGTGCCGGGCTGTGCTGTTGGCTCCTTTCCACCCTCTGTGACCTCAATAGTTCTTCTGTGTGCTCGCCTTCCCAAGTCCTCCTGAGAGCAGGAAAGCAGCCCCTGGCTGTGCACAGGAAACAAGTGTTCAGCAGGCTTTTCATTAGAGGTGCGGCTCCATGTGAGAGCTGATGGCCCACAGCCACTTACTGTAGTCTTTATGTCTGTGAATCATAATGCTTTTCTTAACTGAGTCAGGTAACTCACGTTTATATATGAAGACAATACTCCCGGGCAAAGAGAGAGCTTCCCAGTTTTGTGAAAATGATTTGGAGTTGTCACGTTGGTTTTTTGCTATTTGTAGAAAAAGGTCTGCTGGAGTTGTCTGCAGCATAGCAGTCAAATGTTAGAAGCACACTGGCACCAGGTTTTATCTGGTATACTTTTACAGTATCTGACATTAGGCACACATGCACACTTTATTTTTTTAGCAGAGTTTTAGATTCATAACAAATGGAGTGAAAATACAGTTTCTACCGCAGCCCCCCCCCCCCCAACACACAGCCTCCCCCACCATCAACATCCTACCAGAGGGTGCATGTGTGTGAACCTGTCTGTCTGACTACCTGACTACTACTGGCCTGACAGTCCGTCTACCCTGACTGTCACCAGCTCCCCGAGCCCATGTCTTTGTCAGGGTTCCCTGTGTTGTATGGGTCATGGGTGTGGACATGTGTGATGAGTGCATCCGCCATTATGGTTTCACACAGAGGAGTCTTTCTGCCCCCAGCCCACCCCTCCCTGGCAACCAGGGGTCTTTTCCTTGTCTGCAAAGTGTGGCCTTTAAATGTCATATAGTTGAAATTGTACAGTAATGCTAGATTTTAATCTGAAATTCACATGCATGTTAAAAGGAGACCAGATTCACATACTGAAACTTTTCTTCCCCAAACTTCATTTGGCAGTGTTTTCATCAACAAAATTAATCACTGTTTTCTATGTGTCCAAATGGTTCTTCTTATTGTTCAGTTGCTAAGTCATGTTTTAGGCACTTTTTGACCCCAAAGATGGCAGCATGCCAGGCTTCCCTGTCCTTCATTATCTCCCAGAGTGTGCTTAAACTCACGTCCGTTGAGTCAGTGATGCCATCTAGCCATCTTGTCCTCCATTGTCCCCTTCTTCTCCTACCCTCAGTCTTTCCCAGCATCAGGGTCTTTTTCCAGTGAGTCAGCTCTTCACATCAGGTGGCCAAAGTATTGGAGCTTCCGCATCAGTCCTTCCAGTGGATATTCAGGACTGATTTCCTTTAGGATGGACTGGTTGGATCTCCTTGCAGTCCAAGGGGCTCTTAAGAGTCTTCTCCAACGCCATAATTTGAAAGCATCAATTCTTTGGTGCTCAGCCTTCTTTATGGTCCAACTTTCACATCTGTATGCGAGTACTGGAAAAACCACAGCTTTGACTAGACGGACCTTTGTTGGCAAAGTGATGTCTCTGCTTTTTAATATGCTGTCTAGGTTGATCATAGCTTTTCTTCCAGGGAGCAAGTGTCTTTTGATTTCATGGCTGCAATCACTGTCCACAGTGATTTTGGAGCCCAAGAAAATAAAGTCTGTCACTGTTTTCTTCTTTGCCCCTTCTATTTGCCATGAAGTGATGGGACCGGATTCCATGATCTTAGTTTTTTTAATGTTGAATTTTAAGCCAGCTTTTTCACTCTCCTCTTTCACCCTCATCAAAAGGCTCTTTAGTTTCTCTTCACTTTCTGCCATTAGGGTGGTATCATCTGCATATCTGAGGTTGTTGATATTTCTCCTGGCAATCTTAATTCCAGCTTGTGATTCATTGAACTGGACATTTTGCACAATGTACCCTGCATATATAAGTTAAATAAGCAG